GTTAAAACCATTTGATTTTTTAAAATATGCTTTTGTAAATACAAGATTTGAAATGTAAAAAAAATATAATAGTTGTGTGTGTGTGTTTGCATGTGGTTTTCACATTTGTGTTTTATTTTAAAAGCCATTTTGCTAATTTCCAATTCTTACAAACTACATTAGCTTAACTCACAAAAGAGAATTTTACTTCAGTAAGGTACTTATATGAGTGGGCAAAGCCAAAACGAAGTCCAGAGTTGCATTGCATCAACTTGCCAGGAAATCCCTCTGGAAACAAAGTTGTCACTGTGTTGCTCTCATGTTTTAACTAGTAAAACACTTCTGCCTTAGGGCGTGCTTGTTCCATATCCTGGATCTTATTTTCCTTCCAGATTTCGTGAAGCTGGATGATGATAATTAAAATGCACAAGAACAGATGTTGCTGGGCCTCTGTCAGGCACTGAGCAAATGTTCTGAATGTGCCATTTCTTCCAGTAACTTGGATGAATATCACAAGAGTAGTGTATTTGTTTCTTAGGGCTGCCATTAACGGATCACCACAAACTCAGTGGCTTATGACAGCAGACATTTATCGTCTGACAGTTCTGAAGGCTGAAGTACAAGATCAAGGAGTATGTCATGCCAGCTCTCTCTGAAGGCTCTGGGGAAGAACCTTCCTTGCCTTCATGGTTTCTGGCAGTTGAATAACTGGAATCTCTACCTCAGTCTGCCCATGGCACCCTCTTGTTTCTATCATTTGGGTGTCTTTTAGGGGGACACTTGTCATTGGACTTAGGACCTGTACAGATAATCCAGGATGGTCCTCTCTTGAGATCCTTGGGTTAATTACACTTGCAAAGGCCCTTCTGCCAAATAAGGTCACATTCGCAGGTTCCAGGGGTTAGGATGTGAACGTATCTTTTGGGGGGCACCATTCAGCCCACTAAAATGTGTAGAAGAAAAATGGGGGACAAACAACCCCTTATTGCTCACTCGAGTGGCATGCCATGTTTGGACAAACTCAAGCTAAATCTGGACATCATTCCCTTGGGGAATGGAAGCCAAAAATGGTCAGGAAAAGGTGGAACTAGGGAAACAATTTTATCAGTCAGACACTGATTCTTCTCTGTTTAAATGGACCATTAACCCCACCCAATTTTATGCCACTGTAAACTTAATTGGCTTGTTGTCTATTTTAAAGCAAAAACAGTGTTAACTTGTAGTTCGCAATGAGTTCATCTTCCATATAAATGAGAGTGAATTTTTAAGTGCCAGTAAAAATCTTTCTGGGCAGTGTTAGGTATATTTTGCACACTAAAGACAATATACTTAATATAATTTGGCCAGTTTATTTTATGTATTTAATCATCTCTCCCATTTTAAAATTTATGTCATGCCATATTTATCAGATTATCAGAGAACCTGTACAAACTTTTAAACTAATGTTGGCACTGGACTCACAATTGCCATTCAATACACTCTACCCTCCCGTGACTCACAGTCAGAGACCTAGAAATACTTTACTCACATTGTTTTTCTTCTTCTTTTTTTTTGACCAACAAACTTATTAGAAAATTAGTCTAGATTGCACCACCTCACTACCACAGCATTCAGTCTTGACAGCATTCTTGGTTAAACTGTTTAGAACCCTTAAAAATAAATCTAGCAAATAAGTAGGGAAGGGTTGGGTCCAATTCGCCACGCCTCCCTTTATGCATTTAGGCAGTAGTTTAACTGCAAGTGTGGACGCTTGTTTTCCTTCAAGATGTGTTGTAAGCATTTACTCATATAGTACCTGTTATTTTGGAACACAATGCCTGCCACACAGTAAGCACTTAATGAAAGTAGTGTTAATACTATGAACTGTATTGTCATTATGACTATTTAATAATGACTTTCCCATTAGGAGGAGACCCTTTGTCGCCCTGTTCCCTCATCTTTCTGATGTCTCTTCAATGAACAGCCTATTTCATGCACCAGGTCCTATTCATGATTCACTGACTCCTGGACCCCAGAGCCTGGTTCTCGGCCTTCCTCTCATGCTCCATGAGCTTGCTGGCATCAGTGATGTGTCTAAACTCCCTTGTTCCTTGGCTTTCATCACATCTGCCACCTCTCTGACTTACATGCCAGCCCTTCCTCCTCCCTCGGCCTCTGTGTTCAGGCTTGCTCAGCGTTTATATTCTGGAACTGCTCACTCAGTGTTCTTCTTTTGCCTGCAGCCTCCACATAATCTTCTTCTATGTATCATCTCCCAGTGGAAACCTCCTGCCCCGGGCTCCCTCCTAGACTCAAGACCTACTTTCTCAACTTCCCGCATAGAGTCTTCATTCTGTATTTCCCTGCCTCTTAAATTCAATCAGGCTCATTGTTTTCTCCTCAAAGCGATTAAAAAAAAAATGACAGTTTTATTTAGTGACAAAAATGTTTTTCAGTTATTCAGATTGAGGCCACAGAGTAACTTTTAAGATCACATTTTTTTCATAAATCCTTGCTAAAAGAACAGTTCCCTCTGGTTCATGAAAGTTCTCTTCTTTGAATACTTACCTGTGTATGAGTTCCTTTTGTTTATCAGTGAAGAAGAAGGAATCTGTAGTTTCCTAGCCAGCTCAGGAAAAAGTTAATACTGGAGACCAGCGGCATGAGAGGAGTGAGTAACACATGACTGTAACACATGTGATTTTTTATGAATTTCTTTTTATCTGTGGCTCTCCACATTCCATGAGGCATCAAGTCATATATGTTTGTCTTCGTCTACAGCACACAGATTGAGCTGTAAAGATGCTCATCATGGTGTTGTTTATATTAATAATATCGACAATACATACATTCCCAAAAATAAGGCACTGATTGATTAAGTAACGTTTATATGTAAAACATCATGGATTCTTTGTAGCTATTTAAATTTTGCTGTAATATTTTATGCATTGACATAGCAAGATATTTACATGCTGTACGGAGTACATGGATATAGATAGATATTCATATACTTCACTGAGTAAGAAGAGGCTGGCAAGAGAATGGGCCATGCCAAGGAAAAATACCGAGGACTATATTTGTTTCAAATTGCTCCCAGTGAATTTCTATGTATAAATGTAATGATTCTATTTTCACTGTGTGAAAGGGAATGCTTGAAAAGAAAGAAAAGAATTGAAATAGTCTTAGAGTAGTCTAAACAATTTAAAGAACATGGTTTTTCAAAGAATCATAGAGTTTAAAAAGCAAATTGAATATCAAGTCCAAACTCTATATGCCTTGTGGCCACAGAAATTGAGTGATTTGTTTAATGTCACATATCTGGTTGTGACAGATGTAAAATTTGAAGCTTCTAACATCATTCTGTTAATTCTATTTTCCCATCACTGTTAACCTGACAAATGCATCCACCTTGGAAATTTTAAGCACTTGTGAAAATTAATGCCTCCTCAAAGCTTGAGAATATCTACCTCTATAGAAACCAAATACTATTTTAAAAGCAGAAATTCCAGGGAATAATATCTATTTGATTTTTTAAAATTTCTTTTTCAGTGAATGACCTTGTGCAAACTGCTTTACCAGTCTGAGCCTCAGCCACCTTTTCTGCCAAATATAAGGGTTACTGTCTAAACCACAGGGCTATTTGGGGCCTTCTGTGAGATAGACTACCCCTCAGCCTGTGCATCATGACTATGCAATCCATGCCGGCTTCTCTCCCTCCTCTCCCTATACTACTTATAAAAAGATTGCTTTCATCAATATAAGCCTGTCCTTATGGATTGAATTGTGACCCTTCCATCCCAAAATCCATCCATAGGATGAAGTCTTGACTGCAGCTCCTCAGAGCAAATATCTGTGGTTTAAGCCTCTCTGTTTGTGGTGCTTTGTTATGGCAACACTAGGAAACTAGTGCACCCATATTTCTCAGATTGACTATTGCCTGTAACAACATCTCCTAGGTCTAATTCTTTAGCAGTCAAGCCTTACTAGCATCTGTAAGGTCCTTTTCCAATTTCAAGGGAATTAGACCCAACATCACTTTCATCCAGCTCTTAGTCAGCATGCCTTTTCGAAGGCTCTTCGATGTATGTGATTATGGTTCTAGTCTTTCAATATCTTACCAAACCGAAACTATTTGTACAGGTTATAGATTGGTGGGATGGGAGGGCAGAGAGAGACAAAGAGGGACAGACAGACACACACACACACACACACACACACACACACACACACACGAGCGATCTCAATCACTATTCATCCGTGTCTATATCTGATCTATATACATCTACATCTATTGGACTTTTAAAGGAACATAATATAACAAGTTTTTATTCTCCACTTTATAAAAAACTTGCTAGAAACCCCATTTCAATAAAACCAGCATGTCACACTCTCTCATGTATTTCTATTTACCGTAACTTGCCAAATGTTAATGCGTCGTTGGGCAGTCAGTGCCCCTTTCCCTTTTTGCCACATCTCTAAATAAACCTTTGCCTCATTTCAGAATATTTCTTGAGATAGTGTACCAGAAAGGCAGTTACTAATATTGTCGATAGTCTTCATACTTAATGCCAAATTTCTTTGCAGAAAAGAGCTGGTTGTTCTTTCCTTACGGGTTTAATCTCACGATAACATCTTGGTATCAAGAGAAGGAAGCAGGTCACAGAGGGCATTGGAGGCAATAGTGCTCTGCTGGCACCAGCAGGGAATGTGAATCACCTTACGAAAACCTCCAAGCCAGCATGGTGTTTGCATAACATATAGCTAATAGGAGACTTCCAGCTCACGACCTTTCTGGAACCCAGCATTTAAATGCAACACAGCCTATTAAATTGTCAGTGCAAGTACTTAGCAGAAGGCATCTCCAGCCTCCTTGCTCTCAGAGATGTTTCTACTGACCTGGACACTGGAGGGTTTAGTTCAGAGATAATTTTCAGTAAACTGTTGTCACTCGAAAGTAAACAGTCTGGACAATGTATGGTCCAGTTGGAACACTGAGAAAGTAAACAATCTAGGATATGTAGCTTTTTGGGAATGCGTGTTCCAAATACTTCCCTTTCTTCCCTTAAGCAGGAGGTTTTATTTAAAGTTAAAGCTGTTTATTTGGCATTCAAGGGGGGACCCCATTGCTGAGGAGCCACAGCCATGAACGGCCTTGCAGCCCTGTGTCGAAGACACCAGTCTGTCCTTCTGGTTCTGTTTCTTCTGCAGATTCAGAGCTTGGGTCTGGACATCGACAGCCGTCCTACCGCAGATGTCTGTGCCACACACACGATCTCACCAGGACCCAAAGGTGAGGAAGGAAAACCAAACGTTCATATACAGCAAGCGGGGTTTCCCCTCAGCCCTCAGCCCCACCCAGGCTTTTCATAGCTTTCTCTTCTCTCCCCTGGGCTTCCTCCCCTGTCTTTCTATTTTGGAAAATCAAAAGGATTTCCAGATCTGGGCTGTTGCTTGCTGAAAGCTCTCCCTGGTGTTAGGGAAGATGACGCTGGAGGGGAAGCCAGGCAGGCATCTGAGGGGCCTCATCCGCAGGAGACATCCCTCTCCCATCTTTCTGGGGTAGCCACAGGGTCAAGGTGTCATCTCCAGGGGACATCTCTGCTCTTCAGCTGCCTTCATCCTGCTCTTTTCTCACACTGACGATGATAAAGCTGTGTAGGCAAAAGTTGGTGCAGTCAAAATTAAATCTTATATATGCCTTTCCTAAATTGATGGGCTTCTGGGTTCTGATGTAGAGGTTGGAAGTGTTTTGTCAAGAATTAGAGGTCGTATGTAAATATTTCTTTATTTGCAAGTGAAGTCTTTGGGGCCAAATGCCTTCGGCCGAAGAATGAGAGAACATGGCAAAATGTTTCTAAGTAGAGCCAAGGTCCAAATATGCCATAAGCAGCTAGCTGATAAAAAAAATCTGTTTTCCTGGTTTCAGCTCTTCTCTTTTTGCTCTGAAAGCGGTCACTGCACTGCAGATTGGTGCTCCCTTATTAGTAATTCATGCCATGTGCCTCCGGGCAATTGGGTGGAAGAATTGCAGCTGCTTAAAATTTTAAGTAGAAGAAAGGGTCTTTCCAAAAAGAAAAATCAGAAATGCATTGCCACGTGCTTGACAGTTATCTAAATGTGTATTGCTTAAAGTGCATTTTTTTAAATCAGTGAATTAATTTCCTCTAAGTTCGCAATACAAGTCTTAACCTTTGATACTATAAAATAAATGCTGGGAGGAACAATGAGACCTTGGCTCTTCCAAATAATTTCTTGGGTGAATAAATGAATAATGTGAGGGCAAATGTTCAGAACAGAAAGTTTTGATGAGAAACAAAGTATTTACTTAAAACTGTTCCTGGACCTTGCAGGGAGTATAGAGACTCAGTAATATTTCCAGGGTCCCACAGGGAAAGTGGGGGATGGGAGAAATGAACATTTCCTTGTCCCTGCAAATGTTGAACTCACCTGGGAAGAGACCTGTGAAGCCATTTTCCTTGCAGAGAAACTGCAGCTTTCAAACTAGAAAAATAGGCAAAGTGATATTAAAATAGTGTCCAGTGTAGAATGCATTCCAACTCAGTCATTTCATTTACTCCCATTTAGTCACGTATACTGAATCCTGTCACGAGTTTAGCACTATTTAGGCACCTGTAGCATGACACCATATGTCAGTGTTGCAAACGATGGAGGGTGTATGATCATCAGGAACCAGAGGTCAAGGGGACTTTCTGGGAAGGGAACATCTGAGCTGGACCTGGGTGTGGCTCTTTAGGTGGAAGGAGGATGTGCATTCCTGGGAGGGGGCACACCTGGCAGAAACAGGAGAGAACCCTGAAGAATGTGTTTGGTAAAGAATCCCACTAGCGTACATTTTTGAGAATTTACAAAGCATAGGTAAAAATCTGAAGTCTTCCTGAAAAAAAGCAAGAAGTCCACTTTCAAATAGTTTTGGGAACCATTTTGGCTCATGCTGTCACCTCAACCTCATGAAGTTTACACGTTGAATGAGCAAGGTGGCATCAAGAGCTCCTCCCCATGCTGTTGACCTTATACAAAACCTTTTCCTTCTCACTAGAAACCTGTTAGATTTCAGACAACGGATGCCTCCTTTACTTTCTTCCTAAGCAACTGTGGACATCATGAGATGGTGACACTCAACATGTAGTGGGACAGGGATGCGTGTCCCTGGGAGAGGGGCTGGGCAGGGCTGCTCTGAAACCCGGGATCTGTTCGGGTGTGGGTGTGGTTTCCCCTTCTTTTCTGAGCCTTGAAACGGGGCAACTGATGGACTCCAGGTTTTCCTGTTCATGAAAGAACCCTCCTTTTGGAGCTCAATGAACACCTGCTGAGTTCCAGGCACCATGTTAGATGCTAACAGTCTGAAGTAAAGACAAGGAGTCTGTCCTGGGACTGGAGCCTACATGTCAAGCTGGGTATTAGAGTGCAAAGTTGTGAGGTCAGCGCCCAGTTAACTTATGATTTTTACATGCAAGTTTCCATAGGGGTATACACATCAAGTATGTGCACTGCTGCCTGCCCTCTACTCCAGGCGCCGTGTTAGATGCTGTGGAAACACCAGATGCCAGACATGAGCTTTCTCTCAAGATATGAGCTGCTTTGGACCCGACCTCATTCCTTCAGGAATCCTGTGACAGTCCCTCCCTATCCCAAACAAGGCAGATTTATATATTTAGCTCCACAAAATATAAAATAAAATAAAAAATCTTGGTGTCTAGGTAAACATTTAAAGGACTAGGCTATTACTTTCTTTCAATAAATTTTTTCTTAAGATCAAGGTGATCTAATATTTTTCTCCATGGCTAATCTTCTCATTACCATACTTGCTAGCACTGTAGCACTGTGCTCAGAAATTTCTAAATTCTCTGGGAAACAGTCAAAGGAATATTTCCTAAATTCATTTGGGAGAATGGAAACTAAATAAATTATTTCGAATTGCAAGTGAAAAACCAGTAATGTTAACCAATCATAGGATGTATTAACAAATATACAGACATTATTTTTACAGTATTGTTTCCCAAGCATGGCTTAGTGGAAAACCAGCCAGGAGAGTCCATCTGTCTGGTCCTCAGCATATTATTATATATATTCTGCTTCAGTTTCTTGATTTTCAGAATGAGCCTTCATCACAGACTTGCTTTAAGAATAATATACAATTAATCAATGTAAACTTTAAGCTGTGTAGACATCAGAAATATTTAACAAATTCTATTTCATTTTTCCTTTCGTATCTAAGTCTGTAGAGAAACAATTTTGTGAATTATTAAAAATTATTTGTTCCAAGCCATTATTATTTTTCTTTTTATGCCTTAAATTTATTATTTTATGCCTTTTAGTAGGAAAATGTCCTCTCTCCCTCTCTCCCCATATTAGTAGTTTCTTTAAACAATTTGTGTGAAATTCTGACCTCTAGTGGTTTTACTTCAAAACAACAATGACAGAATATGTAGCAACTGTTATTTATCCATAAAAAAATTTTTTTTAATAGAAAGGAAAAGGGGAATGAACACAGAAAATGCTAACAAAAAATTAAGGAATGTTAAAAATTAAAACCAATAAGAAATATTTGGGTGATGCTCTACAGTTTTCAAGGAATGCTGACATATATTCTTATTTAATTTCCACAACTTCCCAGCAGAGGCCATTTCTTTAAACTGAGACCTAAGGAAAACTCCCAATATGGCCCGGGGGAGGGAGGTCCATGGGTTCATCACATAGCTGAAACTCAACCCAGACTTTCTGACCCTGATGTGGTGTTGTTTCATGACATCACTAGTTTGCACTGGCTGTATAATAGGTTTATAATCAGGTGTGAACACACAGTGCACTGGCCACTCTTGGTGATAAAAATGGGTAGCACAATGCTTGAGACTGTGACATCACACAACTCCAACCCTGTGTCGTGCTAGGTGCTAAGAACCTGGAAGTGGTAGTGTATCTCCTCTCTGGTAAGCAACTCAACTACTGCATTCATTTGTTTGGCAATTATATGATTTCACCCTGTTGCTTATTGTGGCGTCTGCTGGCTCTTTGGTAGGGGCTGTTCTCTCAGGGATGTCTTTGCGTGGTCCACAAGGTCCCCTTCCACCCGCCTTCTCCTAGGCCATTCCCTGACCTTCTGCCTAGTCTTGCCCTCATGCTGCTCTCTGTTGCTCCTCCTGCTCAGGCTGTGGCACTTGGTGCACCCTCTGCCCGATTCAACCTGACCCACTCTCCCCAAGGGGAGTTCTTCTGCTCATGGGAGTCTCAGTTCCAGTGCTGGCTGTGCAGCCAGGTCCTGCCCAAAACCCCTATGCCCTCCATCAAGGCTCCTAATACGTTGTTTTCCCAGACTCACTGCTAAGTGGCAGTCTCTCATATATTACACATATAGGAGGCCCTGGAGTGCCAGTGTTGGAGATGGATAGGGATACCCATCCTGGGTGTGTGTCTGCCTAAGTCTAAAAGAGCGCCTAATGCAAAATGGTGCTCCTTGCTTCTGATCAAATAAATTAACCCACATTTTCCAAGGAGGACCTCCAACTTTCTAGCTTGGGGCCTTGATCTATTAACACAACTCCTTCAGAAAACCCTTGAAGTGTTCTTGCATACTCCTGCAAGGAACTGTCATGACCCTCCACACACTCGGCCCTTGATGACCTCTTGGGGCGGAGTCAGGCTGTGTCTCTCACAAGACCCAATGCCAGCATCTAGAACAGCAAGAACTAGGCTCCAAATCTTGGTTTCTGGAGCAGTGGTTCCATCCACCAGGTCACATCATTGTCCGCGCCTCATATCATTCCTGTTTAGCGCAAAATGATCCATTAGTCTTGTTCAGTGAACTTTAGATAAAGCATTCTGTGAGGCTGATGTGTGAACACCACATAGACTTGATCTAACTCCGTCATCTTGATAACAGTTAAGCTGCTCGTTTCTTTCTGGTGACTTTATTAGAAAGGATAAGCAGGTAGGATTTTCCCAAAACATTTTCATTAATCGTATTAATTTCCTGGATTCTTTCAGTGTGTTTTTCATATGTATCTTATGCATGAGGACAAACCACTGCTGTCAGTGTTTCAGCTTTTTGACCTTCGTATCTCAGTTTGTGGATGTCCACAACCATTTTTTGGTATCCTTTTTCCTCAGGCAGATGCCGAGAAGACCCTCTGAGTGTGGGTCAGAAAGGGAAATGTGAGCCCCAGTCAGTCAGTGTGGGTGCAGCTGGCCAGGAGGTCTTTAGTGGTAGAAGAACCACTTGTTTCACTTTACTATGAACTCAACACGCTGTTTCCCTCACCTGCTCTCTTATGT